AACATCCTAGCGCGGAACTGCTCGAAGCATTCTTTCTTCTGTAAATTTTCGGTTCTTATCTGATGCATTTTCCCACAAATATCGCCGAATGAGTGAGTTCGCCCATTGTGGAACCTGCTGCTTCTTTGTTTAATGTTCTATCGCACACAGAAACGGCTCTATCAGACTACACTCACCTGAAAACTTTGAATGCACATCCTTACTCTACCTACTCCTCAAGGAATATAAGCAAGTTGATTGATCATCTCTCCACTCGCCTAGATCCTGCGACTGCTTTATATTTTATAAGCATCCTTGCTTCACTTGGTAGAATGATTCTGTTGTGTTCCTCTTCCTCACGAGAGTTCTTGATACCGTAGTATATTTTGTTCTGCAAGTGCACCGAAGATATTGTTATTTCTTTGTAAATTTACAGTTTTTATTTCTTATTGTCCAATAAACGTAGAGGATGTAAAATTGAGTGCATCTTTACAGAAGCATAGTCCTCTGGATTGAGTATGAAGCATCTTCTCATTCTCGTTGCACTTATTGGAATTACATTGGTAGGCTAATGTTTGTGAAATAGCTAAGGACGACAGCACTTCCAAATCCTAAACAGGCGGTTACGGTCTTTTAGGCTTGTGGTCCTAAAAATGATTACCACGATGAAGAGTATAAGCAAGGGCCACTAGGGCCGGCAGGACTAGCGGGGCCAGCCGGGCCAGCTGGGCCAGCAGGGCCGGCAGGGCCATCAGGGGTAGTGTTGATAATACGGCGCACAGAAGAGGAAAATGGAGGACGTCGAGCAGAAAGAGAAGCGAAGGTAACAGATGTAAAGCGTAAGGTAAAAGTTGAGATAAAAAGCAAAATCCAATTACTGATAACCGTTGCGAGTAATTTAAATAAGGAGCAACTACTAGGAAGGTTGACGGTCTACAACACTAACGTGTAAGATAATATAGCTGATTAATGGCAACTTGAGTAAGGTACAAATCATACGTCTGCACGATTTCCATCACACACATTTGTAATCATTAGAGGCTTAGCGCATCTCGAGCAAGGTGGGTGTTCCACAGTAATCAAATGCAAAGTGACTTGAGGCTTTCGTCTGCAGTAGATGTTTCCAAGCTGTTTAAGAGCAGGGCGGTGCTAGGACAGTGTGGTCGCATTCTACTGACGTCAATCAATGCAAAATTATAGTGAGGTGGAATCGCTGAAGGTGGTAGCTGGAACGCCTTTGAAATTGCGAATGAAGATTGAATAATTGGAAGCTGTGAAAAGAAGAAAGCAAACGGTGAATATCGGTAGTTCGCTGGACGAGAAGTGTCGCCGGACTTCACTCAATAAATTCAATCCGATCCTGGCCGTATTTTCAAGGGTGCTGAAATCGTTTTAATTGCTCATTCAGGGCTTTTGCTCAAGACCTCCTCCGACTTCTTAATACAATGAATCACAATGAGTTCCTAAGGAAAAGTAATTATGTGATAACGAGTTTCACGTAACTAGAAGAGAACTAGGTTGTTAAACTTAAACTAGTTAACTAGGTTGTTCTAAAAAACAAATTTTTAAAAGACTTTGTTTTATCCAACGTTTCGTTTGTACAATTGGATGTTCAGGTGACCGACGACGTACCGGAAGACATCCAGAACCATTAAAGTGCTAACATGAAGCCTCGCAGCGGAGCGGCCGTCTGGCGAAGGCTTCTTTTTGTATCCGGTTTGTTGCGAAGCAGTAAACCTTCTTGCAGTTTCCTGTTATATTTGCATCTGTTCTTTAATTCTATTAAAATTTCCATGATAATACTGGAGCTACTGTCAAGGTTTACATTTTTCCGCTGTTGAAGTATAACAATTTTATATCAAAAAAACTTGGCCGTCTGCAAATTGATTGATTACTCACTGTACTGTTCAAGAAAAACCCAAAAAAGCCGAGTAAGGAAATAAGGCAATCCGTAGGAAGACTTTGAGTTCCAATAATCACCAATTTTCGTCAAGGAAGACCAATCTCTAACAAAAAAGCGGAACCGATACTGCTGTGGACTCTCGACGCTAATCACCATGGCGCCTAACAAGCTGTACGAATGAAACGTTAGCCATGACAGTGACTTTTAGCAACATCATGTAATCGTATCAATAAAGAGTTCTTACCTGACAAACTCACTAAGCTGGATCTTTCCCTTCCTTACAACGTGATTTAGCCTCCTTTTATGCAAATCTCGTTATAAAACGACGACATGTACACCAACCTCGTGACGGCTAAGAAGGGGCAGTGATAACAGCAATAAGACGCATGCCGCTATCTCAAAGGTTTCACTGCTAGGAATGTTCAACCTATACCTCAAGTAACAGAAAGAGTGGCAACACTGTTCCAATAGCGATGTAACCTAATTGCGCAGTGATTCCCACATTTAGGAAACCCGTACACCAAACTCCTGCTGCTCAAGAAGGAATAGGTTCGAAAACCAATTCTTTTGAATTAGTAAATGATTGGAATACTTTTCTCGGATGACACCAGCTGCAAAATCTCTATTCGAAAAACTAGTATAAGGCGTTTAAGAAAAAAGTTGCGTGCGGTAAACCGTACTCTAAAGACAAAACGACCAAAATAGGAGTCATTCTCGCTTCAATACTCTCACATTTCACTCCCACGGAGAACACTTCGTCTCCTAAGTGTTGAGAACACCAGGGAAACACGTTAGCGTTCAGTTCATGCGCTGATTCATCACGCTTTCATGCTTTAATGCTAATAAATACTGCGGTACCAAATTCATGTTTCCTTATCAAGAAAAACAGTAAATTACTTAGCAATGTCGAGCTAAACCAGCCTTGGACACGACATTTGTGGGAAAATGCATCAGATAAGAACCGAAAATTTACAGAAGAAAGAATGCTTCGAGCAGTTCCGCGCTAGGATGTTTCAAGTTCAAGGAGTGAGAAGAATATCCGCTATTCTGTAGAGAGTTTCTGCATGGCACCGTATGCGAAAATAGAGAATAATCACCGACGGACATTCTATCCGTCTGTTTAAGCTTTTTCAATCATGAATGAGATAACGTATTTTTCATATGTCTTGCGGAAGCCTTCAGCGACTTCTTCAGAATGAATTTTTTATGGGACACCGTACTGTTCTCATAACCGACTTTCTCTTAACCACTGCATTGCATGATAAATTCGTCGTTTTCTTTCTCAGCAGTCACCAAGTTGCTTAACAGCATACGTTTAATTCCATTTCATAACACACATACAACACAAGCGTAGGTGATGTTTTGGCAGAATCGCCTTCTTCAGAGCATGGAAGGGTATAGTGATATGCAATATCTGCTATGTCAAACGCTTCAATAACACATAAGGAAAGATGAGAAGCCAACTGTTTTTTCGAGATGCTGCTGACCATGTGACTGCCATTTCGCCTTTCATATTTTTGCATGTGTTATTGAAGCCGAAACGTTGGCCATGGCAGTGATTTGTAGCAGCCTCATATAGACTCAACAATAAAAAGGTTCTTACCTGCCAAACTCACTAAGCAGAATCTTTTCCTTCCTTACAAGGTGATTTAGCTTCCTTTTATACAAACCTCGTTATCAAACAACTACGCGGCTAAGTTAAGACAGGTGCTCACTCAGAACGGCGTCCCAGAAACTGCTTCCGCTACGTCGCCTAGGAAATGTGGCTGATCTGCTTTGCTCATTTTATCGCCCCGGTAGCAATCGGCATCAATACAAATCTAATAAAGGAAATGTGTGAGCAAGTTATTTTAAGTTAAATTTGCACAGTAATTTGTTCTTTCCTCGTGAACAACACACCGGTGGTCCAACGGCAAGGCTCTAAGGAAAGCGAAATAGCGGAAATATCGGCCACTGAACAAAGACAGCAACAACATGGACATCTACACCAACCTCGCGACGGCTAAGAATGGGCAGTGATAACAGCAATAAGAAACATGCGGCTATGGCAAAGCGTTCATTACTGGTAATGTTCAGCCTACATCTCAAGTAACAGAACGAGTGATAACACCTCCGACAGCGATGTAACCCAATTGCGCAGTGATTCCCACGTGTAGGAAAGACGTACCCAAAACTCCTGCTGCTCGAGAAGGAGTATGTTCGAAAACCAATTTTTGTGAATAAGCAAATTATTAGAAAAACTAGTATAAAATGTGTAAGAGAAAAGTTGTGTGCGGTAAACAATACCCTAAAGACAAAAGGACCAAGATAGGAGTCACTCTCGCTACAACACTCTCACATTTGACTTCCACGGGAGTCACTTCATCTCCTGACTCTTAAAAACACTAAAAAACCACGTCAGCGTTCAGTTTATGTGCTCACTCTTCACGTTTCCATGCTTTAATGCTAATAAATGCTGTGATGCCAAATTCATGTTTCCTCACCGAGAAAAACAGTGAATTGCTCAGCAATGTCGAGGTAAGTTGGTCTCGGATATTTTCTTTAACTTTACATCTTCGCATCTACCATGCGGATTTCAGCACTTCTCACATTCGATTCGTTTCCTTGCATGCTTCACCCACCTAAGTCTTCCAGCTTTCACGTATGGCTCGATCTGCTGCTTGACAATTTTCTTTCCATCTTAAACATTATTGAATGCGATTCTTCTCGGAGTGCCGAGATAGGTGGTCTAAAGCGTTCCCACTTGAATTCCAGAGAGTGAATTTTTTCTAGACAACTTCAATATTAATTTTTCGACCTCGGGAAATGAGAGACTTGGTGTACCCAGAGCGGGATCGAATTAGCACAGTTTTCGTGATGATCGGAATCATTGCCACTCTACTATCCGCACTCTGACCAAACTCTTTAAATTTAATGCCATTTAATTGCCAAAAAACAGACCATTGTTGCCCTACTCATACTTTAGACCACAACTAGACGTGAGTTTTCAATCCTTTCACTAAATGCAGCGTTATGTTGAATCTAATTACAGCGCATTTACCAAGGTAAATCACTGCCAGTAATAAAAGAAAAAACTGCTATCGATCATGATAGGACGTTCCATAAAAAGATTCATCCTGAAAAAGTCGCTGAAGGCTTCGGCAAGACATAGTCATGTGAAAAATACGTTATTTCATTCTCGATTGAAAAGACTTAAACAGACAGATAAAATGTCTGTCGGTGATTACTCTCTATTTTCGCATACGGTGCCATGTAGAAACCCTTTACAGAAAAGCGGATGTTCCTCTCACTCCTTGAACTTGAAACATCTTGACGTGGAACTGCTCGAAGCATTCTTCCTTCTGTAAATCTTTTGTTTTTATCTGATGCACTTTCCCACAAATGCCGTCGAAGTAGTGAGTTAGCCCTTTGTGGAACCTGTTTCTTTGTTTGATGTTCTATCGCACATAGAAGCGACTCTATCAGATTACACTCACCTGAAAACTTTGGATGCACATCCTTACTCCACCCAATCCTCAAGGAATATAAGCAAGTTGATTGGTCATCTGTCCACTCACTTAGATTCTGCGACTGCGTCATCTTTTCTGAGCGTCCTTGCTTCAGTGGGTAGAGTGATGCTGTTGTGTTACTCTTCCTCACGAGAGTTCTTGATACCGTAGTATATTTTGTTTTGCAAGTAAACCGAAGATATCGTTATTTTTTTGTAAATTTACAGTTTTTATTTCTTATTGTCCAGTAAGCGTAGAGGATGTGAAATCGAGTGCATCCTTGCAGAAGCATAGTCCTCTGGATTGAGTATGAAGCGTCTTCTCATTCTCGTTGCACTTATTGGAATTACATTGGTAGGCCAATGTTTGTGAAATTGCTAAGGACGATAGCTTTTCCGAACTCTAAACAGGCGGTTACGATCTTTTAGGCCTGTGGTCCTAAGCACGTTTACCACGGTGAAGATTATAAGCAAGGGCCACCAGGGCCTGCAGGGCCTGCAGGGCCAGCGGGGCCAGCAGGAGCGGCAGGGCCACCAGGAGTAGTGTTGCTAATACGGCGCAGAGAAAGGGAAAATGGAGGACGCCGAGCAGAAAGAGAAGCGAAGGTAACAGATATAAAGCGTAAAGTAAAAGTTGAGATAAAAAAGAAGCAAAATCCAATTACTGATGACCGTTGCGAGTAATTTAAATAAGGAGCAACTACTAGGAAGGTTGACGGTCTCCAACACTAACGTGTAACTATTCTTTGTTCAAGACTAAGCTGACGTTTCGGCCAATTTCGCCTTCTTCAGAGCCTGGAAAGGTCAAGTTGATAGCAACTCACCCGGCCAGACGCCTCCATAACCAAACAAAGAAACACCAAACCAAGATTTCAATCACTTTGAAGACAGCTCTGCACACTCACCGCTTTCTATGAGGTTTCCACTAAGTATGTCACGTAGAGACCAACCGCACAGAAATCACGTGGAAGTATAATGTGCCCCTCACATCAGAAAAGCAGTTTTATATACTGCCCAATATCACACGTGATAATGAGGCATTGAGGCATTCTTCCCTGCGGTTCATTTTCGGATTTCTGGAATTAATCCAGAGTGCCTCGAGAGTTTTTCGCGCCTGTGATCTTGATTCGCGTGCGAGGATCGTGACACATGCTTCGAAGTCGTCCCCGTTATGTCTCTGGGTCCTATGCGTGCCTAGCGGGGTATTTGGTTTATTTTTGCCGGCTAGGTGTTCTTTCATGCGGACACAGAGTTGTCTACCCGTTTCGCCAATGTATTCGTCCCCACACGTCTTACAGGAGATCAAATAAACTATACCCGAGCTCATGCATTCACCGTCTCTACCACTGGGGCAAATTATGCAATTTTGAGTTGCACATAGACGGTCATATAGGCGGTTGCGAACTAGCTGGCGCTTAAGATTACTAGGTGGTATTTCAACTACGCTCACCGAATCCTCTAAGCCCGCCCTTCTTAAGCAGCGTTTTATAGCTGTACTTATATCATTTGAGATGAAGGGTAGGATAAACGGGACCCTTCTATCGCTAGAGTTGTCGTACGATTTCCTCTACACCTATTCTGAGCTACAGTTTCGTAGCCATTAGAAATGGCTATTTGCCGTGCCAAGTTCCGGGACTCCTCTCTCTGCTCTCTTCCCGTGCACACGTTGGTTGCTGTTCGAAACATGTTTCTCATAAGCGCCCTTTTCGTGTGAGAGGGGTGAGAGGAGAGGTAATGAACCAAGATGTTTTTACTACTTGGCTTTCGGTANCCTTCTATCGCTAGAGTTGTCGTACGATTTCCTCTACACCTATTCTGAGCTACAGTTTCGTAGCCATTAGAAATGGCTATTTGCCGTGCCAAGTTCCGGGACTCCTCTCTCTGCTCTCTTCCCGTGCACACGTTGGTTGCTGTTCGAAACATGTTTCTCATAAGCGCCCTTTTCGTGTGAGAGGGGTGAGAGGAGAGGTAATGAACCAAGATATTTTTACTACTTGGCTTTCGGTACCACTTTGTAATGTAGCCATTTTCTTGTAGGTGAATTTGTACGTTCAAAAATGGAAGCCATTTTTCTTCGCCTTTTCTCGGGTGAACTTGATATACTCTGACTGTGCGTTTAACAATTCGAAGCATTTGTCCATTTCCTCTTGTGTTGAGCAAAGGACAAAGCAGTCGTCTACATACCTACAGTAGAGTAGCGGCCCGAGATCAGTCACCGGTGCTTCCACCTTAGGCATAAATGCAATGCCAAGGCTTGGAGCCAGTCGTTGTCCNTCAAAAATGGAAGCCATTTTTCTTCGCCTTTTCTCGGGTGAACTTGATATACTCTGACTGTGCGTTTAACAATTCGAAGCATTTGTCCATTTCCTCTTGTGTTGAGCAAAGGACAAAGCAGTCGTCTACATACCTACAGTAGAGTAGCGGCCCGAGATCAGTCACCGGTGCTTCCACCTTAGGCATAAATGCAATGCCAAGGCTTGGAGCCAGTCGTTGTCCCATTTGTTTGTTTGGTTATGGAGGCGTCTGGCCGGGTGAGTTGCTATCAACTTGACCTTTCCAGGCTCTGAAGAAGGCGAAATTCTCCGAAACGTCAGCTTAATCGTGAACAAAGAACAGTAACACCTCGCGTTTGCTCAACAAAAATGCGAAGAAAATCACTTGATCAATGCCGAGGTTAATAGAAAGTCGGTCGTGGCTGTTACTAACGTGTAAGATAATATAGCTGATTAATGGCGACTTGAATAAGGTACAAATCATACGTCTCACGATTTCCATCACACACATTTGTAATCATTAGAGGCTTAGCGCATCTCGAGCAAGGTGGGTGTTCCACAGTAATCAAATGCAAAGTGACTTGAGGCTTTCGTCTGCAGTAGATGTTTCCAAGCTGTTTAAGAGCAGGGCGGTGCTAGGACAGTGTGGTCGCATTCTACTGACGTCAATCAATGCAAAATTATAGTGAGGTGGAATCGCTGAAGGTGGTAGCTGGAACGCCTTTGAAATTGCGAATGAAGATTGAATAATTGGAAGCTGTGAAAAGAAGAAAGCAAACGGTGAATATCGGTAGTTCGCTGGACGAGAAGTGTCGCCGGACTTCACTCAATAAATTCAATCCGATCCTGGCCGTATTTTCAAGGGTGCTGAAATCGTTTTAATTGCTCATTCAGGGCTTTTGCTCAAGACCTCCTCCGACTTCTTAATACAATGAATCACAATGAGTTCCTAAGGAAAAGTAATTATGTGAAAACGAGTTTCACGTAACTGAAAGAGAACGGTTAACTAGCTTGTTCTAAAAAATAAATTTTAAGAAGACTTTGTTTTATACAACGTTTCCTTTGTAGAATTGGATGTTCAGGTGACCGACGAGGTGCTGGAAGACATCCATAACCATTAAAGTGCTAACATGAAACCTCGCAGCGAAGCGGTCGTCTGGTGAAGACCTCTTTTATTTAACCGGTTTGTTACGAAGGAATAAATCTTCTTGCGCTTTTCACTTATATTTGCATTTGCTTTTTAACTCTATGAGAAATTCCATTGGGAATACTGGAGCTACTGTCAAAGTCTATATTCTTTCGCTGCAGAAGTATAGCAATTTTACACCAAAAACTCCATATAGGAACACATAGGAAGGCTAGCAAAAAAGCGCAGCCATAACCTCTGCGAGCTCTGGACTCTAATAATCGTAGCTCCTAACACGGTGCACCACCGAAACGTTAGCCATGGCGGTGTTTTGTGGCAGCCTCATGTAAACTTAGCAATAAAATAGACTTGCCTGACGATCCTAATAAGCAGGATCTTTTCCTTCCTTACAACGTGATTCAGCCTCCTTTTATGCGAACCTCGTTATCAAACAATTCTTGGCTAAGTTAAGAGGTGCTCACTCAGAACAACGTCCCAGAAACTCTTTCTGCTACGTCGCCGAAGGAGCCGCGCATGATGTGATGGTGAACGCGTTACTCCCCGGAAAGGACGATAGCACGTTCGTTCCCCAACTCATACACCTGCGGTCCGGAGTTTTCCAAATATCTCAGCATTATGGTAGTTATATTTCGCAACATACCCTACCGTTAAAAAGGATAGCCAGTAAATAAAAAGGTTAAGATTTTTTAAAATTCTATATCTTCGCATCTACCATGCGGATCCCAGCACTTCTCACATTCGATTCGTTTCCTTGCATAGTTCACCCACCTAAGTCTTCCAGCTTTCACGTATGGCTCGATCTGCTGCTTGACAATTTTCTTTCCATCTTGAACGTCATTGAATGCGATTCTGTGCCGAGATAGGTGGTCTAAAGTGTTCCCACTTGAATTCCAGAAGTGAATTTTTTCTGGACAACTTCGATATCAATTTCTCGACCTCGGTAAATGAGAGACTTGGTGTACCCGGCGGGATCGAATCAGCTCAGCTCTCGTGATGATCGGCGTCATTATCACTGCACTATCCACTGACTTATCACTCTGACCCAATACTTTAAATTTAATGCCATTTAATTGTTAAAAAACAGACCAGTGCTGCCTTACTCATGCTTTAGACCTCAACTAAATGTGAGATTTCAATCCTTTGACTAGATGCAGCGTTATGGTGAATCTAATCACAGCGCATTTGCCACGGTAAATCACTGCCATTAATAAAAAAAAAAGCTGCTATCGGTTATGAAAGGAGTGGACAATACTAAAGATTTATTGTTTTCGAAATGGACGGCCCAGCAATACGAAAACAATGAAGGGTATGCCTTGACAAGATATTTAACACCTGGTTGCCGGTGTTTGCTTGCACTTCGATTTCACTTAATCACGCAAATTGGCTGATTTCTTGTGGCTTTCTAGCTAGTGTCCACGATTAACCAACACGGTTACAATAATAGCGACTGTCTATAAAACGACGACAATACGACAAAAGTAGACAGAAAAACAACAGAAATCAGTAATCAATCAGTAATGGAGAGCAACAATACCTGGTTGCTAGTTAGGTGCTGCGTTTTAATGAATTGTTGGCCTGGCGATCAGAATTTGTTCGTCGCAGCTCCTTCATATATAGCGATCCTCGTGCACTGTCGCGCCTGTGAAACTGTTCCTTCGCAATCAGTTATCCCAAAATAAAACCCATACAACGATGGTTCACCGATTTGCAAAAAATTGATATCGAAACCATTTCACAAAGTATTCGATGAAATATGTGTGAATAAACATCTTGAACGGAGAGAGGTGGGACTTTTCTATTTGTAAAGCACCAAAAGTGTAGATGATTATAATTACACTGTCTTTATCACGACATGAGTGGCTGCCAGATGAATTTGCCTTTCCACCTATTTCAGGGCGGCTGCAAAAAGGATTACCAGAAAGTCAACAAACTCATTTCTAAGAAGTGTACGAGAACGTTTTGTTTTAATTGAAGACGAAAGTTCAGAATCGTCTTGTTTCAAGCTCAATATTCATAACTCCGAACTTCAAACCTCTTTGGTTCTAATGGCAAAGTATTGTTTGAAAACTTGTGCGGAAGAGAACAACCGACATCTTTCGGAAACGCAGCGATTTGTTCCGGGTCGGTTTCAGTGACAGAATCCGAAACAGTGATAGGAGATAGCAAACTGTTACTACCAGATTTTATTTTCAGATGTCCCCGACAGCTTCGAAAAGAAGAGTTTATCTATCGCTGAACAACTATCGTTGGAATTTCGAAATGGCTCTTTTTGAAAACACCAGTGTATAGACATCAAAACTCTTTTTAACCCATAACTGGATGTATAACCGTGTGTAATCTGCGAAATGCCGTGGGTTCAAAACAAAAACATGAATCAGTCAGACATTGAAATAAACAATCTTATCTTGATATTCACGAAATAAAGAAAAATGATATGTAAGTACGAAAGGGAAAAGCACAATAACTAACAATTACAAAACGCTAATCTCATTCTACGTATGGAAAGGGAGAAATGGAAGCCGCTCCTCCGTAATGTAATTTATCTGTAACTTTAAGAACTTTTTCTATTTTATTTTTTTTGACCCGTGTTCACGTTTACGGTGCGTTTTCCAGCATTACACACAGACAACTCGCTTCCTCGCGTCCATTATCCATGAAGGTCCTCCAAGTTCTTACGTGTGGCCTCGCTTGCTGCTTGACGACTTTTATTTCATCTTGAATGTCGCTGAATGCCCGTCGAGCAGTTCTCCCTGGTTGAATGGCAGAGTGTGAATTTTTCCCAGACAAGGTCGGTACCAATTTCCTGATCCCGGAGGGATAAGAAGCTTGGTTGGTCCGCGCCGGAATCGAAATAGCACCACGTTTGTGATGACGGACATCACTAGCACTGTGCTATCCTCCCCATTACTTTCAGAATTATAAATGAGATATAAAGTTTACTTACGATAATCTGTTGTAGTAGGTATATTGTGCCATCTACAATTCCAAGGGAACCAAATGTGTGTTCAAGCGCTAAAATTTTCTAATAACCTTGGCGCGAGCTAATGGTTTGCTCATTTTGCCACGTCCTCACATATGAGTCAATTATGAAGAGCTATCTCAATCACTTTGCTGAAAACATAATGTCTATGAGGATAACAGGAATCAACAGTACTTCTTTCTTCCAGCTTTCTAGTACAAAGTTAATCAACTGTCCTACCCATTCTGTGATTTACAAAAACGTAAACCGGAAGCGAAAAACCACCTTTTGTTAGAATTTGGGTGTTCGATTTCAGACCATATCTTGCTATAGTTTTAACATTCATGTACGCTTTAGTAGAACCTAGCAATTATTTGCTTTTGTTTGTTTTCATGTACTCCTTTATTACAATCAAAACGCAATAAATATACAAATAACAGAGGAGTTGAATATTTTGTTGGCGATGGAAGCAAAGTTGGTAAGTAGACAATAAACAAAATGTATGAAATAAGAATCGTGTAATAAGAAAAAGGAAGAAAATGTTGCTACTTTAGAGGTGTTATCAATTGCCCTTCCAACTGCTGACTGCCTCATCGTGACTAGGAGGTATTACTGGGTGTCGGGTTGCGTTGTTCAGTGGGGATTCACTTCCCCTGCACAGTCTCTCAAGCTGAGAACGAGTAGTGGCAAATCTCTCTCTGATCCACAAGGGCTGCTACTGCACGTGGTAGTGAAGAACTGAGGCAGACTATGGCCGGGCTAACCTCGGGATTCGAAGGAACCACAATGGTTTGACAAGTAAATCTCTGAAAAATGGGGACTATACTGGGTCCTGGGCGACCAGTGAGGACGGCCCTTTCAAGTACAAGCATAAAGTGCCAACTAGAGTGACACCGAAACATCTTATCTTCACGACAAACGATTGTTGCCGCTATGATCGTTTCGAAAGATGCTCTCCTCTTCTTTGAAAGGTTTATTCTCCATACTACATAGCGCTCTGCAAAAATCGAGCCAAATTGACTTACGTTTAATTAATTTGAAGTGAGGGGTCGAAGAAAACTAGACGGTAGTTACCAATCGCTCGGGAAAACGCTGCTAATCAGTGCATAAATCTTGCTCGAAGGTCAATTTTAGAAGATGGTGCGCTTGGCATTCACATAAAATTCTAGGACATAAATTTATACGATGGAAATAAAATAAAAGAGCAAAAAGAAACAAGGATAAAAAAATAAGAAAACACTTAACTCACAGAAATCTCATTGCACTTGTCAACAAGTTGCAAAGATACTGCACGGCGTTCTGGTTCCCGTTACAAGACCTGTTATAGAAAATATGAAAAGCCATAAGCAAGAAATCTAATTAAACAAGCCTAAGATCTACCAAATAGATGTTTTGCAAAATCAGTCTAGATAAGAATGCCGTACTTCGAACCTATAAGTAGGTTATCATGAAGCACTTAGCAACATATCCGAACGTTTTCCTTTACCTCATACGTTCTCTCCTAAAGGAGATGTTGGAGTGAATATTAATTTAAGGAAACAACACTAGTAATACTAGAAATCAAGGAAAAAACTTTTTCTAGAAGTCATCACAGGAAATGATAGGATTATAGGGTTGTAACTTACGACAGCAGTGGTAACGGTTGAGCTCTGGAAATTTCTTGGTAGTCTTCTTGAGCAAACGCGAAGTGTTATTTTATTCTTTATTAACGAATAAGGTTTTCGGATTTCTTTAGACGTTTCGGAGGTTTGGCGGATTTCGCCTTCCTCAGAGCCTGGAAAGGTCAAGCTGACAGTAATCTATTCGGCCAAACACCTCCATAACCAAACAGAGAAAGTGCTAAACCAAGATTTCAATCACATTGAACAGAGAATAGCTTCTTTGCACACTCACCGCTTTCTATTAGTCTTCCAGTGAGTATGTCACGTGAAGACCAACCGCACAAAATTCACCTGCAAGCGTAATGTGCCCTCCCATCAGAATAACAGTCTTGTATACTGCCCAATATCACGCGT